GCTGTTATTACAGTTGAGCCTGTGATGCAATACTCTTTTGTTTTAAGAATCATACAAGTGAAGCTATCAGGTCAATACAATGCTTGTTGTCTCATTTGCATTCCATTTAAATGCATCCATAATATCTGATATTCGAAGCTTCTTCTTAAATTACAGTCACCAAACCAAATCAAATTTGACTAAACCAGCAAGTTCAAAATTTTTTTTGAACAACTGACTTCTGCCTGTGCTATTTCAACATACACATCCTTGCATGGCTAATATTTTTTCTATTTACCTTTCAACTGTTAAGGCTTCATCCATTGGCAGGTCATCAGCTGCGGCTACTACACCTTTTATTGCCCTAATCACTGATGAATGATCTCTTACATATGGAGCCAGCCAATCAGCAGCTGTCTCTAAAGCATCCTGAATATAAAGAAAGACACATGCTATCTATTTAATTACTTCATCTGTGGTATGCAGCAATGAAGCTAAAATGTGTTTATGGGGTCCCTGTGTATTTTCAACAGAAAAGACCAAAGACTCTTATGAAGCCCATGCATGTGCACACAGTAATCAAAGATGCAACAAAAAAGTAAATGGCAGTTACATTTACTGTAGTTYAACAGCCAAATCCTTGTTGTCTGGGTAACCTGTGTTACATTAGCCAMAGGAAGCCCAAAGAAAGTCATCAGAATTACTTTACATAACAAAGAGATACTAACCTTAGATTCCAATAGTTCTGCATCCACTAAACCACACTTAAGAGATTCTTCCAGATCCATTCTTTTGCATTGTAGTAGGATTTCTAATGCTTTATGTCGTCCAACAATCTTTACTAGTCTTGATCCCCCACCCCACCCTGGAGACAATCCCATTTTTGCATGAACAAACCTCATTTCTGTAAGAACAAAATTAACAGGTACCCTAAATTTTACTTGTTAAGGATTTTTATTTTATTTACCTGCATTAAAATYATAAATAAACTAATATAATATAAATTATTAAATTTTTTGTGATAAAGGTACCTGCATCTTTTGACATGATTCTGAAATCGCATGCAGTTGTCAGCTGAAACAAAGGACATGCTTTAGGATTTTTTCATATCTTCATTAATTTTGAAAAGAAAAGGCAGGTGATAATAATTTCAATTTACTTTGACCCRGACTAAAAGTATGGTCGTTTTCAGTGTCATCGTGAAGACATGTATAATGGCTAAAGGGGGGCCAGGCTAAAACCAACAGCTGCTCAAAAGCAAACAAAAAAACAAAAAAAAAGAAAGAAAAAAAACAGGACAAATCTGACTGGTCATCCGACAAATGTTTAGGCCAGGCAAGTGCCAAATTTGGCCAGACTTGACTTTGAAAACAACTTCTACACAGGTTAACAGGTTAAGGAGAATCAAATATGGCATAACAGTAGTGCGTTCATATATCTGCTGCCTTGGGTTCAGATTGAGGGTTTTTCTCCAGGATATCCACACCGTGTATGTGTAAAACCGGACCTAACAAGCTAAATTCCAACTCCATGGTTGAGTTAACCATACCCTGATTTTGATTAGCCAGAGGATGTTTGGAAAATATAAACGTTTGAAGATTGTCRAAATGCCAGTCACAATAACAACAACAGCCTTTCTGAAGACTACACAACTTACCACCACACTCAACAAAGAATTTTATTTATCACTCTTTTTATTGCTACATGCTGATCGAGACAACAGTCACGACAGGGAAATTGGCAATACATTCAGGGACGGCAGAACAGCTTTAAAAATGTCCTCCCCTCCCTATCCCACACACCAAAAAATCAGACAAAATRAAAATGTAATTCTTGCAAAAAGTAGGGGCGGGGGCTTCACTTCCCTGACACTTCTGTCAATCAAACAAATTGGTCAGTACCTTTATATTGTTTCTATTTCCCTGTTGCACCCTGTTGTCTTGATCAGCGCGTATAGCAGTGAACAGAGTGGTAACTCACCTCCGCTCCTCCTCCCACAGCTTTTCCCTGCACAACAGCCAAACTAACCAAAGGCAGTCGCCTCAAACRTGTCAGAGTCCTCTGCATAAAGAAGCACATCTCTGCCCCCTCCTCTGGGGTAAGGATCGCTTTTGCTACACTTAAATCMGCACCTGATGCAAAAGTTCCCTCAGCACCTTGCAAAATAACACCCTYTCCTGAATCCCAAGTCTCTAACTCGTCTATAATCTCAGCCAGCTGGACCATCATATGCCCTGTTAAAGCATTTTTACGGCTAGGATTATCAATGGTTATCGATGCAATGTCTTTTGCGTTTTTAACTCCATAGCTCAACAAAATATCGCCGCCTGACCCTATTAATGGCTTAAGTTTTGCCCGTATTTTATCTTCCTCGAATGATGGAGTATTTGATATAGTAGAAGCGTAGAATAGTCTCGTAAAAGATCGTAATATTTGGGCATTATTTCGTAAACAACTGACACTATTCATTGTTTAGTGTAGTTCTCAAGYTTTTTAGTCCGAAATGCTAATATATTCCAGGCGTTGCTGCATGGCAGCATGGAAACTGGTGCCCTATGTAACCAAAAAGGTATAGGGTACTGGGCTACCTGTGCAGATTAAGATTATTCCGCATGAACGAAGTCCCTCCATATTTCCATCCGGCTTTAGGCGTGTCTTCACATGGTTGTCGAAAATAATGCGAAATCTTGTGTTTGCTAAATATCTATTTTTCCATAGTACGGAATCTCATTTTTTCCGGTCATATGAAAGATAGCTTAAAATTCACCGCGAAAAACTAGACGGTTTCTGGTGTTTTTTTTCTTCTTAATAAAAAAATGGTCTTGAGTTCGTAGCTTGATGGTGCTATAGTAACATTGTACGCGGTCTGTCAGCATAATAAGAAAATCAATATTGACACATGATCTTTGATGTGACATGCGTATAGTGTATCAGCAATAAAATTCCAAGACCTTTAAAACTATRGATCTGCGTTAATTCCTAAGATTCTCTGTCATTTTCGAGTTTCTTTTAGCATTTGAGGAACCAATTGAGAGATCTTTAAAGAGTTCTGCTATTAAGAAACGACACCTAGTGATTTCATAAGACTTTGAAAGAAGGGTAAGTCGTCGATCTATGCGTTAAAACATAATTTCAGTACAGTCTATTGATAATTTTATAGCTAAGGTTCTTGTATTATTCATAGTTAGATTATATTGAGTGCTTGCTCTCTACTGAGTATTCTGTGGGTCTGTACATTTATGAKGATGATATAAGTTGAAAATTTCTTCAAAACGCTTCCCTTTTTAAAGAAAATATTGATGGCTTCTAGTCATAAACTAGTGATTAGCTTCGATCAAAACGCGGCTTGTTATAGATTTTTTTACTCCTACTAGCCATAAGCTAGTGGTTTAGCTTCGTGGTTGTTGATTAAAAACATAACGATTAAGAATGAAAAGGCGCCAGCTTTTATAGTCTTATGGTCGTAAGAAGATGAAGATCACTTCGCGGAAGAAACACAACACCATTGAGTCAGGGTCTGAATGGGGTTAACTGTTAACTGAGAAACGGCTAAAAAATTAACTGTTAACTGAGAATTCCGTATTTTTTTAGCTGATAACTGAGATCGACGATATAACTGATAACTGTTTATTTTTGATTCATAAATTTTTTTTTTTTTTAAATTGTTTTTTATTCAAAAGCTATTTGAGGCCATTCACCATCATGTTGCCTTGTGTCAGTTGATACTCTGTTACGTATTTATTGTTGATGTAATAGAGTTGAGTTGATCTTTGATCACTTTTCCGTCGATTTGCTGGACGCTTTGGTCAGTATGAATAGTGGTATCGTTAAAGTTCTTGTTAGCTATTATAGAAAGGACGAGGAAGCTCCGTTCGAGCGCCACTGAAGTCGAGTACCCATTGACTTTGCTTTACGATTGTCTGTGCCAAAATTAAAACAGCATTTAGGCGAATTTCTTCAGCTTGCGTGACCCGTTCAGGAAGGGCTGTACGAGCATTAATGAAAGTTAAGATCATGTTCAGACKGTAAAAAGGTACAGTAAAATGTTTAAATTGACAATAAACGCGTAACAAAAGATTCATCTATATTTTCTTAAAATTTAAGGTTCAGTCTTTCCACAATTAAAGCCATAGTTAGGATTTTTATTGGCTCTAGCCATTGTTTAACAGTTCATCTCTTCGTATTTTCTCCTGTGAAAATTATGTTTGCTTGGTTTCACTTTGGTTTCACAGACTAATAGTTGTTTCACTTTTTGGGACATTTCACTGCAAAATTTCAGCATGCCAAGCGATATCGTGAAAAAAGTCTGCAAATAAATATCTCTAAAATGTCTTGCGATGTCTTGCCAAAACAAGACCAGCCAGCCAACAAGACTAACCAGCATACAGAACAACAGTTTTACTACCATATGTAGATGGTGTRTCCCAAACTTTGCGTAGATGCCTTAAGACCATGGTATTCGCACTGTTTTCAGATCCGAAACAACTCGCTGCTGAAACAACTAATAAGACCCAGCTCCACCTTAACACATAARTAGGGATTGCAGTATTGACTTACCGGAAGTGATGGGAGACAAATTAATAAGTCATCCTTTTAAAAACATATTTCACATGTGAATTTGAGGTAAAAAGTACTTTAAAATAGACTTCACCCAGTTGTTTGTTATTTATTAAGCATAAGAATTAATTATTAATGTTTGACTTAACTGAGAATCGAAAAATTTAACTGATAACTGAGAAAATCTATAAAATTTAGCTTCTAACTGATACTGGGACCCCCCCATTCAGACCCTGTTGAGTCCTCGAGCCCGAATGGGGCTATTGACTCATAGGACACGTCAGGGCGAGATGACAAATTGTTTTAGTGAAATTCAACTAGTCGGTCAAATATAAAGATACAAGTTTACAAGTTTTGAATTAAAGTTAAATTTAATGTTTTGGTTTTCGAAGTTGGCACGTTTATGGCTATAACTTAAGGCCTAGACGTAATAGCTCATCCAATCAGAACGCAGTATTTATTTTTATACGTACTTGTGCTAAAAAAAATCCTTAAAAATTATACGAGTACAGTATATGACCTTAGTCAATTTAGATCAGTTGAACGCGGCGTGTTTTATTTTACTTCTACTCTTTTTAGGAATTATATCAAAATGGCTGAGGCAATTGTTCCAGAGGACGGGAGTGACTATTTATGGGAAAAGGCGAGCTTTCCCGAGGGTGTCCCGAAGACTGACTGGAATTTCAACATCTACATCATGCATGCCGTCATCAAGCACATAGTCCGCGGGTCGTTCAAAAGTTCTTTGGACGCTGTACTTCAGAGCAGTTCGCAATGTCAAACAAACATGTTGTTAGGAAAAGCTAACTATCTTCAGCTCGAGGAGTGTTTTTTAACKAACCAGAAATACACTGAGCCACTGCAAGTTGGAAGCGTAGCAGAAGATGTACCCATTGTGCAGATATTTCGACAAGCATGCGAAGACACAAATGAAGATGGAAATATGGACGCACTTCATGCGGATTAATCGTTTGAGTGTGACTTTAATCTCTGTTTTAAAGATATAACAGYATCGGAGGTCCCATACGAACAAACTACTGAAGAGTCCAGTAACATGCCACTTCAATTAATGGTCATTCCATCGCTGTCTCTTCCTGGTCAAGCCCGGCTGGCACTACCTCCGGATATTAACCGTTTTATTGTTCCGGGCCTTAGTAAGCTGTGCGTACGAGAAGGTGAAGGTATGTCTGTCATGTCATCAGAATTATTAGTAAATGAGCTGTATTGTCTCTTAAACTTGAATACAGTCATAATGAACGTAGTAAAATGTCAACAAGGCCAAGCTTCAAACTCAGAACAACACGACGAAAACGAATCTGCTTATGCCACAAGCCTTCAATACGTTGGACAAGCGGGGCCTGCCGTCCATATAGTCACGTGTATCGTGGCGGGTAAAACAAACAGAAAACATCTTTTCTTAACTGAGGACGTCAGCATTTCTGTCCCCTGTAAAACATGGCCCAGTTGTGCATCGAAATGGTCCGTCAGAGACAAACCCTCTGGATGGCCCCCTAGGGAACTTATTCAGCGGGTGATTCAAGCTGGATGTCATTTAGTGCCCAAGTATGACCCTTTGGGACGAAAAGATTCCTCAGAAGGTGCCGCTGGTGGAGATGTAGCTCCATCGACGTCATGGAGGTACTCCTTTTCACTGGCCGAGAAAACACTCATGAATTCTATCACCGATGACCAAAGAATGTGTTACCTCATCTTCAAGTACCTGTTCGCTCGCTTTGTCAAGTTGGCCTCCATCATCACTACCTACACTGCCAAAACGCTTTTTCTCTGGGAACTAGAAACCGTGCCACATGATCAATGGTGCTTCTCTAAGATCGGAGATCGAGTGAAAAACTTGATCGAAAAATTAAGAAGTTGCGTTAAAAACATGTCCTGCCAACACTTCTTTATCGATGGGTGTAATACACTCCAGCAAATGGATGACAAAAGTCGAAAAGTAACCCTGGAAAATGGTTTTCGAATGCTAGATGAGGAGATGGCCGAAGGACCAGATCTTGAGACAGGAACTCTGGAAGTAACTTCTGATTTCCCATTTCATTTCATGACGACGTACAAATCGTTTTATCCTGTCAACGTTTGGCTAGAATCATTAAGTGCTCAAATGAAGGTTAAATTGGACACAACAAGCAAAGTCCCCAGTAAACAGAGCATCTTAGATATCTTAGATAACACCAAAGTTAACCCCATTGAGATGCCTGAGGTTCTCATCCATCTTGCTTTGGCTGAAAAAGTCTATGGCCAACCTCTTTCCGTGCCGAATTCTCTTCTACAACAGCAGAATGTCCTCCAAATTGTTCAGTTTCTGAAAAGATCCACCACAGATGCAAACTTCGAAAACTGCATGAAGGATCTTGACGTTGAGATAAAGTTTCTTCATTTGCAGTACAAAATAATCGACGAAATTGAACAATTCCTAACAGACAACCCTTCTTTTGTGTACAGCTTTGACAGCGGCTCAGATGAAAACGAGGAGAATGAAAACTAGTCCTCAGAAAAAAATGATTTAAAAAAAGTCAAAATTGAATGATTATGAGTCATCGGTGTCCCTGTTTAAAATGCTTTTAAAATTTTATACTTAGCAGAATCCTAAATTCATACTTTTGTGTAATAGAGTTATACTGATATATTGATGCTGTTCAAATTCAGTCRAGTTTATCATCATGGCGTTTCGACCCCAGACCCCTGTGACGAAATTCCCACAACACGTGCTCCACGAAATATGGTTCAAGGCATAACATGGTTC